TTCTTGTACTGTTTCTTTCTTTGTAGTTTTGAACACATTAGGAGATTTCATCTTTGCCTTGAGCTGATCCACTGACATTTGCCAGTCCTTAGCCAAACTCTGCAAAGATGCATCATCTACTCCAAACACAGTTCGATAGAAGTTCAGGCTTTTCTCAAGATTCTCCACATCACTGTCCATGAAGAGGTGGGCCAGTGAAGGAATGGTACTCAGGAGGTCAGTTGTAAAGGCTTCTAGCCAAATCCTCTGCATCAGGAATTGTCGCTTCCTTTCAATGGCTGTACCTGTAATATTAGGCAAGGAAAGCATAAAAATGTGTCGTTTGTATACAGGGAGAGCATTCATAACCTTGTCCATCAGGATTGGGAAATCATAATCAGACAAATTTTTGTTAGAGATCAAGAAGATTGGTGGTTCATCAATGTTATTCTCCTGAAACGTTTTCACACAGCTGTTGAGGATCTGCTGCAGGACCTTTTCTCTGTTAAAGGTGTGTGGTTTGAATTCCTTTTCATTGTTTAAGTCAGAGTCCACCTTGGTTCTCACGAAGTAGAAATCCTTCTTCATCATGCTGATTGCTTTGGCAAGGTCTATATCATTTTTCTTAAAGCGTGTGGCAGAAACAATAATGAAGAAGTCATACTCATGGAATTTCATTTTCTCCAGATAATCTTTTGGTGGGAAATTTGTGGTTCCAATCCCAGGCAGGTCCCAAAAAACCACATTGGGAATATTGGGGTGTTTGTATGGATGTCTCTTCATGGTTGTTTCCACCACTCCGATTTCAGCTGCATCTTCGTCTTCATGCCCAAGCCCTCTCAGGGCATTGATCAGGGTAGATTTCCCTGCTCCAGACTCCCCAGTCACAGCAACATTGAGTGGGCTACTGTCATTTTTTTTTAATGCATCAGTGATTGAAGAGTTTGCCCCCTGTATGTTTCCTTGTGTTAGGCTTAACTCAATTGAAGCTATGGTTTCCTGAGGAATGATTTTGTTTCCTGTCTTAAAATTTTTAAAATATTCGGCAAAGCTGGAGGCCAAATCTTTGTAGTGTTCATCCTTAGATGAAGAGAACAGCTGACCCATGACTGTGAGCAAATAAAGGTCCTGAAAGAAAGAAGGAAAAGTCAGGAAGGTGTGTATCAAATTTAAAATCTACATTATAGCAAATTTCAAGTATATTGCTACATACCCTCCTTAATGGTTGTAATTATTCATTAGATCTCTCACTATGTTCCATTTTACACAATTGAGATTTTGTGTCCTTTGACTAACATCACTCTATTTCCTTCTCCCCACAGCTTTGCCCACCACCCTGATTTCTACCTCTATGAGTCTGGCTACTCTAGATTTCACCTGTAATGACGCAATAGGGTCATTCTCTCTGCAGGTAGCTGAGACCTTCCCAGGAGATTTTAATGGTTTATTCTCCATTGTCTCTTCACAGATCATCTCATCTTTTCAGCCTGCTCTGTGCATCCCTGCTATGTAGACTCCATGAGCAGAGGTCCCTCACCTTCTAGCCTCTAGTATCATTCAGCTGTATGTGATCATGGCCTCGCATTTTCCCTGCTTGGGCTGCATGTCTGACTGTGCCTGCACCTATCATTCTTCGTAATCAATACTATTTGGCCTTTCTGAACTGATCAGTACTCCTGGTATTTTGAAGGAAAATATTTTCTTTTTATTATTCCATCTGCTTAGATCTGGTAATGGCCCCTCACACTCTCTGGTCTTGGGTTGTCATACAGTTCCCTATTTATCTGCTTGGCATATCCAACTTTCTGAATTTGTTCTTTTACTGAAGTTTCTTCATTTGAGTATTTATTAATGACTCCTTCCTGATGCGTAGTATATAACACTTTTGCAATAGAGAGTTGAATTCCAGGCCAATGGCCAAGTCTCTTTCTAAGGTAAAAAGGGCCCAAACTTTGCAAAGTATAATGCATATTTATATGGGGTGTAGTGTCTGCCAGTCCAGTCACCAGTGCCACACAGATACGTCCTAGATCACTTTCCTTTAAAGACACTTAGTGTCCCTGAACAACTGAATCAACAGCCAGGCCAGATAAAGTACTGTTAGGACATCACCCATCCCAGTCGATGCTTGCTACATGGATGGTCCAAGTGCTGGCACCTGCAGCATTTCAAATGAACACAGACAACATGTGCAGGAGACAGGAGAAAGAGTAGTCACTAGGCTGAGTTGATATAGTTAATAGTAATGTGGATTTGACAATCTGTATTGATACTTCTGTTATATCCATGGGCTTGATATAGGTCATAAGTATGCTAATATATGTTTTTAGAAATGTTGAAGGAAAATTATTTGTAAATTAGTTTTGTTTTAAGATAGAGAATGGCTGTAGAGTAAAAAAAAAGTATATGTGTATCTCTGAGTTAGCTATATCTAAAGGTTATTAAAATTTCTAAGATCAAAGTTCACTACACTGATACAGTTGTAAAAATCTGGTGTTATTTATATCAAGGAGGCTCTCTTAAGATACTGATCTGCTTTGGTAACATTTACAAAAGTAGACTTTAAGTGAAATGACATTTATCAGAACCATAAGATGAAGGTTGTGCTAAGTTACAAAAAAAACCTTACCTACCAGCAATTCATGGCTAGTAGACATTACATTTTTATATAACGTTATGGGATTAGATATTTTAATACCTAAATTGGTATGTACATTTTTTATAAAATTTTCCAAACCTTATGTTTCCTTCAGGTAACTATTTCCATTTCCTGCTGATAGCCTGACTGCTGACAGGGACAGGACCTGGGTCCCAGCACTGCCAGCTACAGAACAGAGAACCAAGAACATAGGCCATGAAGCCCAAACTCTGCTCCCCATCCTCAGGAAAATGCTGACCCCACAGGGTGTTGGGGGTGTGACTCAGCTCCTGGCCTCCTGGTTAGGCAATTCCTACTAAAATACCAGGGTCCCCTCTGAATTTTGTTACTTGTGTCCCAAGTTGGACAGACATCCAGGTTCAACTCTGTCAGCATCACATGAACCTAATACAGGAACGGAGGTCAGACCTAAGCTTTTCTGAAAGCTGCTGAAATTCGTTATTTAGTGATAAATTTGGCCAATTGCAAAAGCTGTCTGGACCCTGACAAAAATGAAAATGAAAATAGTGACATCTCTCAGGAAAAACATGAGCCAGGATCCACTGGATTTATCCTGGTGAAAGTTATCAAGACAAAAGTTGTTGGGGATCTTTTCATAAAGCCTCCCATCCTTTGATCCCCATACCTTGTTCTAATTATACACATTGTAAAACTATCTTGGGCCAGCAAGATGCCTGAGCAGGTGAGGCTACTTGTCACTCAGCCAGATGATCTGAGTTCTAGTCCCAAGACTCACATAGTGATGAGAGAGAACTGACTTCTAGAACTTGTCTTTTGGCCTCCACATGCATGTGCTCATAGATGTGGGCACCTATCCCTAGTACATGAGTACATAGAATGAATAAATAAATGTAATCAAAATACAAATAAAATGTGTTGTACAAATTCCCAGAGAACTACAAAAAACAAGAGAAAGGAAAATAAGGAACAACAAACTTTGGCTTATATGTCTTGCACTGAGTATGAAAACACAATGATAGTGATATGAAACATCAATCATTACAATGGGATGCACATCTTCATTAGCACTACAACTTTCCAATAAAAACCATGAAGTTAAAGAGGATTCCTAGTTAAAAATGCCCCACAGCATCCACTACTACTGTTTTGATAAATGGGCCAATTTCCTTCGCAATACTTGTGATTATACCAGAGATTAGGGATACCTTGCTCAGACAAGGGATTTGTTGGTGTTGATGTTGCTTATTTCTCATTTTTCTGTTTCTCCAGTGGGTAGTGTTTGAATGCACAGTCTCATAACTGGTCAAAGTGGTGAGAACATGTGACAGTTGAGTGCTCATTCCTAAATATAACAGGGACATCTTTATCAACCCCCCACCCTACCCAGGTTCAGGAAACATCCTGGAAGAACCAGAGGATGGGCAGGGGCAGTGGCCTGAAATGATGTCTTCTGAATATGACATGGCATTTGCATGTGTGAACTCGTGGCAACTGGGGCTCCCTGCAGCGACTTCCAAAGATCTAGCCTGTCCACATTTCAGCATGAAGGAGATCAGGGGGCACATGAGGGCTTAGCTGAGGAGATATTAGGATCAGTGACTGGTGAGGTAGAGAGAGTCACTGTTCTTTAACATGTGACCACTAGAAAGTTGCCCATGATCAAGTAAATAACCCTACACCTGAACACACAAGAGATCCTTAGGAAAATTAGTGGGGTATTTAAAAACATAAAGACAAGAAAACATAGGGGCAACCATTGGGAAGAGGAAGGACCCCTGAGAGAATAAGAGTGGGAAAAGAGAGAGGAATAGTGTTTGAAGACGATAAAAGTGCTACATAGATGTATGAAATTGTCATACAGTATATGAAAATATTTTTAAAACAAAACAAACCTATCCTAAAAGTGTTTCCCAGCACGTTATAGGAGAAGCATTCTACAGAGGGCATCTTTCACCATAGTCTAGCTTCCCCTGGAGTTTAGAATAAACATGCTGAGCTGGGTAAAAGGAGGCAAGAAAAGAGTACTAGGAAGTTACAAGACTGAGACAAAACAATTTTCATATATTCTATAGTGATATTTCACAACACATATCCTAAAAGGCTAATTTTTTCATCAGTTCTTGGGATTAAATGTCCTCTAAACAAACAAATAAAAAATCCCAAACCAAAATAACTGCATACATTTTAAACATTTATTTGGTCTTTTACTTTAGGTCTATCTAAACTTGAATGACTACCTAAGAACATCGATAAGTAAGTCTTGCCTTTCTGTAATCAAAGCCCCTAGCTTCCAAACTGAGGATCCCAGCTCTGAGGATATGTCTCTAAATGTCTTTTTACACATAGGCTCCCTAGGAAAGAGACAGTGAGGGTGAGAGGTGAGATCTGAATGCCCAGTTACCGGACAATCCTGTGTCCAGGGGAGGCTCTCACTGCTCAGGACAGAGGAATAGCCCTCGGCTGTGCTCGAATTTCTTCACTGGAACTCCACCTCTGCTTCTTCAGCAGAAACAGGGAAGTTGGCCGGTACTTGTATACTCTCTTGGCTTTTATCCCACCTTCAGAATGTGCTAGCCAATCACAGAGGAGAATGCATCTGGTTTCATTCCAGAATCTTGTGCATTTCTAGGAACAGGAAAGTGAAACTAAACTCACTTTTTTTTCTTCAGGTGAGTTGAGAAGGACAAGAATTAAGGATATGAAACCACAATTGTGAAGAAATAAGGTTGAAGTCAGAGGGGGTCAAATGATTTGTGTCTTGGGCAAGACTAAAATTGGCATCTGCACAGGATCCCAGACAATGTGCTGTACCACTTCAGTTTAGGCTATATTTGTAGAGTCAGGAATCGTGAATATTATTTTTCAACAGTTTGTTCTACCCTAGTTATTTTTTCCCCTTTTCTATTTTAATAAAAAGGAAAAAAAAGAAAAAGATTATAACTAACAAAAGAAAAACTATATACAAAAGTACAATGACTATATACAATATATACAAGTAATAAATGTCTAAACAATGTCTAGTCCATTTGTATTTGACAAATTCAGAGAAAATAATTTCATTATCTATCCTATTTTGTTAAGTCCAAAATGTATCTAATTCACTTTCTATCTTAATTTATCTTCAACTATAACTAACTAACCTTCAACTATAACTACCTAATCTTCAACTCCCTCAGAGACCCAAGAAGGAAATAATATTAGCTAACAAAAATAAAAACAGAAAGTGCATGCAAGCAACTTCCAAAAAATTTGTGAGTTGACAGAAACAGCCAGCTGCCTGGACAGTCACCTGAGGTTTCTCAAAATGCTGGGGCATCATCTTCAGCCTATAGGCTTAGCATATCTGACAGACTCATTTGTGAAGTAGGATGTACACAAGGTCAACAGTTCAACCTCACATTGGGTGAGAGCAGTCCATGTACCAGAAACACCTGAATTCCACTAGTGTCATGTCATGATTCAGGATATTAAATTCTGGAATTTGTTGATGGTTTTTTAATTCAGCTGTCCATTCTTCTTGGCTGTGTATATATGGCTTCATCTCAGCATCCCGTTCTTCTCCACATCCCTCTGTCAAATGCCAGTTTACTATTGCGAGGCGTGAGCTTAGTTACTCTTCAAGAATAACGGTTTCAGTTGCTGTTCCATTGCATATCAGAAGCCATCGGCCCACTGCCTGTTCAGCTGCCTTCGAAGAAAAGGGCACTGGACCTTTTCCGAATTGCGAAGGCCACTTCAGGGATGGTGCCATATTGTCCTGGCCTCAGAAGATGCCTTTTGATAAAGCCATAACCACAAGAATCAGTAGTCCTTTGTTTCATGTCCTGTCTGTCCATTTTGTCAGCAGTTGATTCAAGGATACTTTGTTGTCCAGTGGCTAACTTTTGCCACAATGAAAGTTAACTCCATACACAGTTTCTTCAATGTCCATATTTTCCCTGAAGTAGATTGGTACTGCCAGGAGCCGACATGTCTCATAATCATAACAAAAAAGAAAAATTTTCTAAGTTATTAAAACATTTTAAATGCCATATTCTGTAGATCTCTGAAGGGTTTGAAGATGACCTGTCTAAAATATATCTGTTCAATTTTTAAAACATATCTAATATGACTACAAGTTCTATTGTAATGTCTAACTACTAACTTTCATTTCTTTATATCCTAATAGTTGGTAATAATAACATTCAAGGATCAGAAAATTGCATTGTTAAATGAACGGTATAAGTACAATTAGAGATATACATATAGCATTTTCTAACAATATCAATTTCAATATATATAATTTGTATACAATATAAAACAATCCAATCCAATGTAAAGTATTTAAAACTAGTAATTGTCTTTTTCTTCTTCTTTCTTTCTCTTTTTTTTTATTAATTTATTTTGCAATACAATTCAGTTCTACATATCAGCCACGGATTCCCTTGTTCTCCCCCCTCCCGTCCCCCTCCCCTTCCCTCCAACCCCCCCCCCCCATTCCCATCTCCTCCAGGGCAAAGCCTTCCCCACAGACTGAGGTCAACCTGGTAGACTCAGTCCAGGCAGGTCCAGTCCCCTCCTCCCAGGCCGAGCCAAACAATCCTGCATAGGCCCCAGGTTTCAAACAGCCAACTCATGCAATGAGCACAAGATCTGGTCCCACTGCCTGGATGCCTCCCAAACAGATCAAGCCAATCAACTGTCTCATCCATTCAGAGGGCCTGATCCAGTGGGGACCCCTCAGCCATTGGTTCATAGTTCATGTGTTTCCATTCATTTGGCTATTTGTCCCTGTGCTTTATCCAACCTTGGTCTCAACAATTCTCGCTCATATAAACCCTCCTCATTCTCGCTAATTGGACTCCCAGAGATCCACCCGGGGCCTAGTCATGGATCTCTGCATCCAGATCCCTCAGTAGTTGGATGAGGTTTCTAGCACGACAATTAGGGTGTTTGGCCATCCCATCACCAGAGTAGGTCAGTTCGGGCTGTCTCTCGACCACTGCCAGCAGTCTGTTGTGTGGGTATCTTTGTGGATTTCTGTGGGCCTCTCTAGCACTTTGCTTCTTCCTATTCTCATGTGGTCTTTATTTACCATGGTCTCCTATTCCTTGTTCTCCCTCTCTGTTGTTGATCCAGCTGGGATCTCCCGCTCCCCCAAGCTCTCTTTCCCTCAACCCTCGCCTTTCATTACCGCCACTCATGTCCAGGCTGTTCATGTAGATCTCATTCCATTTCTCTGTCATTGGGTGATCCCTGTGTCTTTCTTGGGGTCCTGTTTTCCAGGTAGCCTCCCTGGTGATGTGAGTAGCAGACAAGTCATCCTTGTTTCATGTCTAGTATCCTGCTATGAGTGAGTACATACCATGTTTGTCTTTCTGAGTCTGGGTTACCTCACTCAGGATGATTTTTTCTAGATCCATCCATTTGTCTGCAAACCTCATGATGCCATTGTTTTTCTCTGCTGAGTAGTATTCCATTGTGTATATGTACCACATTTTGTTTATCCATTCTTCAGTTGAAGGGCATCTGGGTTGTTTCCATGTTCTGGCTATTACAAACAATGCTGATATGAACATAACTGAACAAGTGCTCTTATGGTGTGGTTGAGCATTTCTTGGGTATATGCCCAAGAGTGGTATAGCTGGATCTTGGGGAAGATTGATTCCCAATTTTCTAAGAAAGCGCCATATTGATTTCCAAAGTGGTTGTACAAGCTTGCATTCCCACCAGCAGTGGAGGAGTGTTCCCCTAGCTCCACATCCTCTCCAGCATAAGGTGTCTTCAGTGTTTTTGATCTTAGCCATTCTGACAGGCGTAAGGTGGTATCTCAGAGTTGTTTTGATTTGCATTTCCCTGATGATTAGGGATGTTGAGCAGTTCCTTAAATGTCTTTCAGCCATTTGAGTTTCCTCTGTTGAGAATTCTCTGTTTAGTTCTATAGCCCATTTCTTAATTGGACTGTTGGGCATTTTGATGTCTAATTTCTTGAATTCCTTATATATTCTGGATATCAGTCCTCTGTCAGATGTGGGGTTGGTGAAGATCTTTTCCCATTCTGTAGGCTGTCGCTTTGCCTTGTTGACCGTATCCTTTGCTCTACAAAAGCTTCTCAGTTTCAAGAGGTCCCATTGATTGATTGTTTGTCTCAGAGTCTGTGCTACTGGTGTTCTATTTAGGAAGTAGTCTCCTATGCCAATGCGTTCAAGACTACTTCCTACTTTCTCTTCTAGCAGGTTCAGAGTAGCTGGATTTATGTTGAGGTCCTTGATCCACTTGGACTTAAGTTTTGTGCACGTCTACCCTAGTTATTAAAATCCTTCTTCATATTCTACCTCAGCTTGCAAGCTCTAGAATGCCTTGTTTTTTGTTTGGGGACTGTCCAAATTTTTCTGCCAGGAAATGAAGTGTTTATAGATTGAAAAAACAACACTTTGTTTTATTTTCACTTTTCTTGGAAATGAAGGGGATTCTGAAAAGCCACTTGATCAATGCTCCTCCGTGATTGGCCAACACACACTGAGACAGGAGGAGCAGAGTCAGAAGAGTGTAGAAGTTCTTCCAAACTAACATAAACCTGCTGCTTTCCACAGAGGGACCAGGGGTGGGTTCGTGTGAAGAGCCTGTAGCACAGTGGACAGCAGTTCCTGTAGCTGACCTACAGTGAGCCCATATACTGGACACAGGATTTTCTGGTAAGTGGACAGAAGCATTCATATTTAACTTCTGAGACTCATCATCTTTTCTCTAAGGAACACATAAGTAACAAGATATTTAGGGACATGCCTGAGAGTGGGGATCCTCAGTTTCAAAGCTAGGATGCTTTGATAGTTTCTGGATTGGGCAGGCTTGTGAATGGTCTTTGCCAATCCTTCAAGCTGAGATAGACCTAAAGGAAATGACATGGGTATTGTTTTTGGTAAACGTATCCAATTGTTGTGACTTGCCTCTTATTCCTCTCCCTATAATGACTGTCAACGGATGCTTCAGGTAATAGAATATCTCTGCAGTGTGCATGAGGTTGTTGTATCTCACTCTCATCTTGCTGTCTAGTTCAAGGTCAGTTATTTAATTCCTGCATTCCAAGGCCTCTGGTCTGTGGAAAAGAGGTCTCTCTGCATGCTGCTTCTGCTGTAACTGGCTGTGGAAATCTGTGCCTGAAGAATCTTGTTCACTGTGCTTTTCTTTATTGTAAAGATGTAAGGATGTTTTCTTATTCTGTAGGGTACATGAGCTCCGTCAGGATGTTGTGACAGCTGTCATTTAGGCAGGCTTCCTTTTGGAATGTTTGCTGTGTCACAGCCTTCTCATTCCCTGTGTTCACATTCAGTGGACAGACCTTGCAGGAAACTGTCACACTGGAGTCTGCATCACAAATCCAGGAGGTAGAACTGAAAGAATGAGAGGGAAAAACTGAAAAGACAGAACAGTCTGTGTGCTTCAGGGACATTCTCTCTGTGCCCTGTGGGTGACTGGCCCTCAACAGGAAATCTGACTGTGGTGTTTATTTAACCAGG